TGCTCCAGGGTTGCACAGGCACCAGGTCCAGCTCAGCACGGACCTGTGCCACCACTGATCCTTCTGCTCCTTGTTTCTGCCTGGGCACGGGCAAGGCCGGGGGGTTTCCAGATCCACGAGCTGGATGTCTGCTGTGAGAGCACAGCGCACGAGAGCAACCCGAAGCGCATCCATGGTGGATGTCAAACTAAGGAGCAACTAAAACCCTAAATATCCTCTTGCTCTGGAACAACAAACTCCTTCCGCAGCGCTCTCCAGCAAACCGGGCATCAGAAAGCAACTGCAGATCTGAGAAGCTCCAGATGTCCCATGGCTGGAGCTGCCAACGTCCCGGGGGTGGTTACCCTGCCACCCTCCCGACCCGCAGGAACAACATTCGTGTCTGTTTATATTCACCTTCTCACTGGCATCCGACACAAAAGGGCTGTCAATACTGAGGCACGAAAGCATTTGTTCCTGCTCCTCCAGTGAGTAAGGCTGTGACAGGCTGTTCAGGAACAGTTCTACAGCAAAAAGGAGACAAGGAAGATATTTGCTGTGATTCCTTTCATGCTTCCTGCTCTCATGTCAGTTTACTGCAAGTAATACCTGAAGTTTTCTCAGCATTATCCAATCTACGCTGACATTAGTGTCTGTAAAATACCTGACACACAATTCCTGGTAAGTAGAGGCTATTGTTGCCATTGTGAAAATAGGGAAACGGAGCCCGAAGCGACAGGATTTGTGCAACAACTTGCAGCAACTCAGGGACAGGAGGAGCACCCGGAAGTTCCCGTTTCTTGCCTATCACTCCAGTCTTCCGTCTAGATCCATCTGCATCATACCCAGGAAAAGATAAACTTAACCATTCAACTCCTGCAGTAACTGGCACTGAGAATATACAGACCTGACAAGGACCCCAGGCACCCCTAAAATGCTGGTAATCATTCCTCAATTCTGTGGCAATTGTTACACTTCAAGAGAACTTTTTCCTATTTATTTATGAAGACAAGAAAGTATGGGGTAAAAAAATGAAAGTCTGAGATGTTCTCTGGCAGTGGAACTGGACGAGAACTTTAGTGATTTTCACACTGAACTTTTACAGCTGCTGCTACCCCAATTCCCTGGTAGGGGGATATGGGTTTTCCAAAACCCACGACAAAACATTTGCAGACTGATCTCAACTTAGCTGCTTTGCTTGATATCTCCCATCTGACAGGCTTATCTCTATATTAACCTAGAGAAATAACTGGCCAGAAGGCAAAAGAGAGCAACTGCATTTTTATGATATTTCCAATTGAAAAGTTGAATTCCTTTTCCATTTTGCTCACCTATTTCTAGTTGCTGAAGTTCTTGTTCTGAGATGGTTGTTACTCTCTCTGCATGACTGCAGCTCTTCAGGGGTAGAGGAGCCAAAGAAGAGAGAGGGGGAGGATCCCAGATCCCAGGTAACTCCTTGCACAGGTTCCAAGGGGTTCCCTCGACCTCCTCTGTTTGCTCCAGCGATGGGGGTGGTACCTCTGGGCTTGCACAAGAAACTTTCCCTGACAATTTCGGGTCAGAATCAGTCTCAGAAACTGGGCTCACTGTGGGGGACAGGGAGGCCTGTTGATCGTTTTCTTTGTTTAAAGCCACATGTCTGGGCTCTCTGTATTCGCCTTTCCAGGGGCTTGTCACGCCTCCCACTGCAATAACAGAAAGGAGACAAGCATTAGCATACAGAAAAAAACGAGCAAAAGTCACGTTCGTCAGCAAATGTGAGGTTCTGAGTTGCATCTAACTGCAAAACACCAGGTCACCAAAAGAAGACAAATCATGTCTGCAAGTTCTTGCTACACTGTAGAGCCTTTCATTTTTCAGCAGGATTATTCTGAAATAAATTTGAAGAGTGCCAGAGGGAAGGCTTTGACCGCAAACAGGAGTTACAGTCAGGGATTAAATAAGCTTTTTTTTTTTCTTCCAGTTTTGCTGAATTCAAGACTTTAGCTCAATAGATGCAGAAAATATTTCAGCTCTGCACGAGCCCAGGCCATGGTCACACCTTAGACACACTGATATCCTCCCCAGGACTATTCAGACATAGCTGGTGACTGCCTGCTCTACCAGTGTGGGTAGGCACCTTTCAGGGAGGACGCTTTTACCTTCTTCGAGTGCGACCGTGGCCTTGGTTTTCAGTTCAGACGCAGACGCTCTTTGCACAGGCTCTTTCTCCAGGCCCATTTTAATAATCTCAGCAGTGAGAGGGTTGCAGGAAGGCGGAATTTCCCTCAGAGGAGGCGGCTCCTTAGCTATCTGTGTGACAAACAGGAAGTGAAAGAGGTTAAAGCAGAGAGGCTTCGTTTGTTTTCAGAAAGGTTCTTCCCATCCTGAGAGTTTCCAACTGAAATTATGGCATTAAATGAGACATCTGTTAGGTACAGAATCAAAGACCTGAGTAGTAATTTTATTACTAAATGGCTATAACGTCACGCTCAAGTCATGAGCAGGATAAAGGAGGAGGGGAAAAAAGCCCTAGCCCAGCTGGCTCTCCGACAGCCTTCCTGAAGTGACTGTCTGGCTGGTAAAATTAGGTTTTCCCAGCTTAAGTGCCTTGTACTGGAGCTATTTTGGGTCACTTACCTTTAGACAGAGTGGGTGGTTGTAGTATTGGGTCCACGGGTGGCACCCGTTGAGCATGTGCAGCATCATACAGCAGCTGCTCCAGACATCCACTTTGGAGTCGCAGCGCTTCCCCATCACCACCTCTGGAGCCATGTGAGTCTCCGTGCCAGGTACATAGTTCCCTAAAATCACGATGGTAAAATCAAAAGATAATCACTGAATGGAAAAGAGAGAACTGTTCCCCTGCAACTGCTAGGAAGCCTTATTGCTTTTTTCAGAAAAAGTGACACAAAAGCCAGCTTAACCCAAAAAGTAGTGTCACATGCTCCTCTCAGCTGTCCCGAGGCTACATCTCCAAGTCAGTGCCATCCCAGAAGTGTGGATGTGATCTCTTGCAGGAACAAAACACTGACTGGAGCACTGCTGATGTGATTTTACAGAAAACAGCCACCTTCTGGACAGAGATAAGGACCAAGTTCCAATCCTAAATGAATTTTAGCTGGCAGTGGGCTACATCGATGAATGCAACACTATGAGCAACATAAGTCTGGAAACACAACTGCCTGCAAATTAGCCAGGCATAAATGTCCTAGAGGAACAGAACCACAAAGATCTCCAGGATCACAGCACACAAATCTTACCTGTGAGCAGGAACTTCCCCAAGCCGTCTGCATGAAGGTGAGCAGAGTGTCCAAAGTCACAGAGAAGAGCCCTGCTTCCATCATCAGATAAGAGCACATTGTCCGCTTTAAAAAGAGGTTTTAAATTAGTATCTGTGTATTGTAGTCACTCATAAGGAAAAAAACATCCAAAGGCCAGAGAGCTACAGCCTTTGCTGAGGGCAAACTAAGAGCCACTAAACTTACCGAGCACCACTGGCTTTAGCAACTACACAGTTAGAGCTATCCTGACTTGTGCCCTACCAGTTATCTGCTCTGGGGATTCCTCTAGCCCAGGGGAGAGGCAAACAGCCTCTCAGACCCACTGGATGAGAGAGAGAACGAGGTGACAAATATTATATGTCCATCTGTTTAAAATGAAGTTAAACTCAATCTGAATCGCAGAGCAGAATAGCTAAATATAACCTTTCTGCCGCTACCTAACTCTTTTTCTCCAAGCAGTTTGCTCCTTTTTAAGAAAAACAGAAGAAATAACAATATATGTTAAGCAGTATTCTACCTTTTACATCCCCGTGAAGAATGTTTTGAGCGTGAAGATACTCCAGGCCCTCCAAAGCCTGGCCCAGATAACTGAGAGCTCTGTCCTCGGGCAGGCAGCCGCTCTGTTTAATCAGCTGGCCCAGGGAGCCACCTAGAAGAAAATCCAGAGAGTTCATGTTAGCCTGTAAACACCTCTCAGCAACATCAACAGTTCTCATTTTGTCTGGAGCAACAAGAACTGCCAGGTCTGGCAGTCTTTATCTTCCATGCATGGGTCTGTTCCCTCTTTATAATCCCCACCTTTTTACTGCCCATGGAAACCAGCCTCTTTCAGGCAGCCTTTTGCTTAGCATCGGTTTAACAGCTTTGCTTAGTACCAAAAGCAATTTCTCTGTGACCAGATGAAGCACTTCTAGACTGCACTCAGCTGAGCCTTCCAAGGCTTTGCTTTCCATGGTCCTGGCTGGGGAAAAAATGCCTCAGGCAAAGGATGTGTCTAGGTTTGCTTACACTGCATTCCCTGTTACAGCACAGTGGGCTTTATAGGTACCGTGTAAATACACCCCTGTATCTTCAAGCGAAAACTGAGCATCAGCTGTGTGCTTTAGGGAGAATTTGTAGCTGGTGTCCAAGAGAGATTTATCTTGAACTGGGGAGAGGGGGAAGAGGAGAAATTACTCCTCTCAGAAACAATCATGTCTAAACAGCAGCGGGTGCAATACATAGCTACGCCACCCCACTGAGGAATTAACACTAGGAACAGCCTGGATACACCAAAGGGCTAAAAGATTTAAAACTGGGGCAAGAGGAAGAGGAGACCAGAGTCCATTGCATTTGACAACTACAGTGGCTTCCACTGGGACTGCTCCTTTCTCACCCTCCATGAGCTTCATGAAGATCGTCACCCAAGGCCCTTCCTTCACTGCTCCATACAAGGGGACAACTTTAGGACTCGTTATTGCAGCACATGTTGTCAACTCCTCTGCACGGAAGTGTTCAACTTGTACCTGGAGAAACAAAGAAGCGGCACTCAACACACGGTGACAGATTCTCAGCACCGTGTCCCTCCCCAGGGCTGAGCTCAGTGTCCTGCTCAGCCTAGTGTCACAGGCCCCCACATCACCTCCACTGCCCCAAATAAACGCGGGTAGCAGCAAGTGGGAACACTCAGACTGAGCAAGGAGGAAGGGGGACATTAATCCTCAGTCTGAGCTGAGGGCCCATTAGCCAAAAACGATGCCAGGTTCCAACCCGTCTCACTCACGGTTGAATGTAGGGTATCTTTTGGTTTTATTTTTCGTTTTTAATCTTTTTAAGGTCACTTCTGTCCCAGTTAAGAGGACGTTATTGATGGTTTAAGCATTCTGTTTTCATGAGGTGCAAAAGGGAAAAGTCCAGGGATAGAGCAGTGCTTGGAAACACGCAGCTCCTCCGAAACAGGAGGGAATATGAAATATGACCCCAGGCAGTGATCTGCACTATCACCTTTTTAGGTGGTAGTCAGGCTGCACAGAAAGAGTGATTTAAGAAAGACTCTATTCACTAAGTTTGGCCAAAGAAAATAAAACAAGAATTTGCTAAAGACCAGAGGAAAACATGAGTCATTAAGATGCTGGTGGGAAAAGACTGTATCATGTTTCTCCACTGTCAGCAATGCAGTTAGAGGTAGTTTGCTTTGATCTCAAGAATTGGGAGGGCAGGTGCTTGCAACACCAGGCAGGGTGGAAGAAGGTCAGGTAGTCCCCGTCTAGGAAGGGCGGGCAGCAGTAATTCCAGACAGTTGCTGATGTAGAATGAAATATATTACGGTTTACGTGTTCAGTTTGCATGTTAGGACTCACTAGTTAAAAGTGTGATCTGAGAAAACATATTTCTTATCTACAGAAGTAGCCTTTGAAATCTTCTAGGAGTTAGGAAAGACGTTAACTGCCATTTTGAAAGACTAATGCTTCTCCTAACCGGCATCTACTTTCTCTCAGCGCTAATCCACCTCTTATTGCTGAAAATCCCCACTTTTCACATTTATTTCCCCTGAGACTGTGTATTGGCACCGTGGATAATTAACTCAGTAGTTTCATACTGTCAGAGAACAACACTGTCATGTTACCATGAAGTTCTACATCTAAAATGCGAGGATGCAGGATAAAAAATAACTTTCTAGATGTTAAAAGTCTTTTCTATACAGCTCACAAATGAAATGATTTAAAAAACATGGACAAGATGGCTCGGTCTTGCTACTTACATCTTTCCATTAGGCAATGCATCAAGTTGAGAGTAATGTAAACGAGAGAAAGCGAATATTTTTAATTAAAAAAAAAAATCACAACTTCCAATTTTCGCATACAACATTTTCGTTCAAGACAAACACTTCCCACACACTTTTCAAAGTTTTCTATTAATGTGAGAAACCTATCAGTTTGGTGGAGCTGATGAAACTATTCAAGTGTTAAGGGCAAGCAGAAGAGCTCACATTCTCATCACCTCCTTGGGTTATCACTCTGCCTTCACCCCTAAGGCCTACAAATAAATACCTCCATGCGAGTTATATCCGTGTGTGTCACACATCGTATGACGATGATGTATCTTGGCAAACAGTGGGTTATTATGGTAGCTTCTGGAGAAATACAAGCTCTTGGCAAACTTCTAGCACAATCACGTCATTACAATGTGCCGGTGTTGTCGAGGATGCTCACTGAGCAGGAGAAAACTCTCTCCTTTTTGCGTTTTTACTCATCACTTTAGCTTTTCCTATTTTACTCACTTTTCAGCAGAGAAACACTTGCAATGTCATCATTTATAATGGATGTTTTTAAAGATGGGAATATTTACATAAGCAGAAAACTGCAGGACCTTTTTTCCCACCCCTACTAAGAATGCTCTTACAATCTTTTACAATCTTCCTGAAATCTCCACTCTTCTAGTCTGTCTCGGCACAGAAAAGCCAAATGCCCTGTACTGTTCTCTGAAGGTCAAATGAACCTATTTCTTACTGCTCAGAACCTGTGTGCACAGTGGGTCTATCTGCTTCTTCTCTCCATGCCATCACCTGAAAATTTGCTCTGAGCATAACCACAGCAGCATTATTTTCTGGAATGATAAGACTCTATTTCTGCTTTCTTGCCTCAAACAATCCCCCCGGTTTCTTACACCTAGATTACCTTTTTGGCAGCACACTGAAATCCTGTCTGCTTGTCCTCTATTTTGTATACTTCTCCAAAAGAGCCAATGCCCAGAGAACCGTGACACTTTGTCCAGTGAACCTCTTCTCTGTACTCATAATCCACTGGCTTCAGTTTCTGGGGGTTGAAAATCAGAAAACGAGATGAAACAAGCATGGAAAAACATACGCAGAGGATAAAATATTCAGAAAAGCTCAATGGTACCACAGCCTCTCCCAGTGCAATATTGCTTCTGTCACTGGCTTGAGGTGGGAGGAAATGGGAGGACCTGCCAGATTTCTGCATGTGCTGGTTGGTCTAAACAACTGCACCCCTATGTCCTAAAAAAGGGCAGCTTGGAGCTCCAGACTCCTCCCTTCACATGGAGGATATCGTTATGAAGTGAAATCCTATGCACATAAGATACATCCAACTAAATGTAGATCTCTACGTGGGAGCTAGATCCTTCCATAGGATATATGGAGAAGAATCGTGCCTTGGGTCTCAGTGTAGATGTGTACAGGCAGATAAGGCACATCCTGAACTGCACTGACAATGTGATAGGGTTGTCATTGACTGTGAAATCCTATAAGAGGGGTTTAGGGAGGCTGGCAAAGGGCTGCAGTTAGGAGAGATGAATCAGGAGGATTTACAGGCATCAAACTCCTGCCTCTGTCAAGGGACAGGGTAAATTTTGGTTTATTGGCAGAGGTGGCAGACATGCTCTTTGCACCTTTGGGATTTACAGGTTACAGGTGCCTTTTACTGTTGGTGTTAGTGTCCAAGTCATCTTATAATCAATCAAATATTGCAGCCTGTCCACCTGAATGGTCTGGATTCTTTCACAGACCAACAGAGAGGGCATTTTGGAAGACTGACCACCAACAGAGATGCTTCTCATAAATTTTTAAATAAGCCAGGCATATTTTGTGAATGAATAAACCAGTTGGAGCACCAAGACAGGGTTTTATGCCCTTCTAAAAAGTGCTGGGCTCTAGCTACATCATTAAAAACCCTTCAGAAATGGCAGTTGTGCTACAGAAGCCAGTACATGGAGGCAGATTCCCTCTCCTGAACTCTGCCTAGCGCAGCACCGAGGGCAGGGTTGGAAGATCACCTCGTTCAGGAGCACGCCTTCGTTCTCCTCTGCTTTTTGGGATGGTTCCTTCAGGTCCAGACCGCCTCCTCTCCACGTCTTGGCTAGGCTGGCTAAATTCTGCGGTTCACCGAAACTCACACTCCCCTTCAAGGCGTCTACCAAGTATTCTTCCACAGAAATCTTGTCCGAACTGGTTCTCATGGACTGGTTGACACATCTGGGGAAACTGCATTCTAAGTTTAGGCTAGATAAGCGATGCTCACTGTCTGGATAGTTGAAGTCACCGGGGCAGTATGTTCCCAGTGCTTTGAGTTTCATGGCATGGAGAGGACTCTCCAGGGGTGGGAAATGAGGAGGTATTATGTTGTACGGGAAAGGGTGAAGCGTTTCAGGCTGCGGAACACTGTCCTTCGGATAGTGACGTTTCCAAACATGACTAAGGCACTGAACAGGGCTGATCAGCCTTTGCAGTTCTGTTTTGTACTGGCTCCTTGGGGAAGGGAGTTTGCCGGCGGACAGAAGTTTCCCGGGTTTCTCAAACAGCAGCGGATCATAAGCCAAATCCTTGCCAAGTTCTGAAACCCAAAAATTGTTTCTGTAGAGAGTACTTTGGTGTGCTTCATCCTCCTAGGAAACAAAACAGGACAACTGAGCAGGGACCTCAGCAAAGCCACCCAAAATTCAACCAAGAATTGTAGCAGGAGTATCTAAAAGGAGTATCTAAAACCGACCCACACCTGGACTGGAATGGGGGTGCAGCTTTCTTGTTCTGGAGTCCTGGGACCACGTCTGCCAGCAGCCACTGTTTGTATTTTCAGCTTGGATCTTTTTTTATGCCGTTTCTTTCTGTTTTTACCACGATGCCTCCCTCTCCAACAGGTAGGTGCCATCTTCCCCTCCCTTGCGTGGGCCACATTGTTAGGGATTTGATCAAGGCTGTCTGACCGGCTACCGAAAAAATAAAAGAGCATAAAGTCATGAAGTCTTTTAAATCTGATGGTAAAAAACATGCTTTCAATTATTAGCAACAGTTACTTAACAATTATTACCAACAGAACAGGCATGAGAATTAGCAATAACATCTTTGGAGATTTTAAGAATAGAGAACTGAAAGATAACTTCTTACCTTCTAAAATGCAACAAATTAGATTTTGACACCCAAGCAGAATCATTTTAAAACAGAAACAGAGGAGAGGAGGAAAAGAAAAAGAGCACAAAGTATCGATTTGTACAGCATTCACAAATTCTTCAAGGAACAGCAGGACTAGAGGGCAGAGTAAACCGTGAAAAGCACTGAATGCTTCCAGGTCGCTTTGAGACAACATTTGTCTGTGAATTTTAGGGAATACAGAGGTTAAATATAAATAAAATCTATTTAAAAGTTTTGTTAAAAATAACAAAAGCACTTATAATATAAACATCTTCTCTATTTGAAGATGTTTAATCTGTGCAAGGGAAAAGGGTGACTAAGGGAACTGAAATTAAACAGCTTGAAACGGCCAAAAATCGCTGGCATGTAGAGCTCAATTCTTATAATGTTACAATCCCTCTTCTAGGAAATCATACATTTATAAAGCAGCGCTGGCCAGAAGAATATGTGGGGGCCTATGCAAATAGGTGAATCTCTAAAGAAGAATATTTGCCAGCAGTTATTCAATATGATCTTGACAGCTGGGTTTTTGCAAGGAAACAGGAAAATTGATCTTCAAATGAAGAAACTGTAATTGTTGCGTTGATCCATGCAACAGTTACCTGCCGTTATCGAGCAGTGCCACAGCTCACAGCCAGCTCAGCTGCCTCCCTCGCTCTCTGCTGCCTTGGGGCACTGTTAAATGCTTACCAGATCCAGCAGGCAGAGCTCTGGATTGGGTGGGCATTGCCATATTGCCTTGACCCTGAACGTATACCTGCTGTGCATTCCACATATAGCCCCTAAGAACCACCCCACTCTGCTTCTCTGCAGTTGGTTCATGGGGCAGTGTTATAACGTTAGTGGGCAATGTCAGATCCCACAAGGCCAGATTCAGTGCCTGAAATCTGCCACAGATGAGGCAGCATCTTATTCTATTTCCCAATTTCAGCTAGAGAAGACCAAAAACTGCACCTTGCATCTTTCTACTTCAAGCCCATGAACCTCACATAAAACAGATCTCTTGGCCTTCATTTTGAAACAAATCCGCCAACCTAAATACCCAGGCAGATTACAAGGCTTAGTAAATTAGCAGGCATTGGTAATGAGACACATGCAAGGTGTTTTGGGTGGTGTGCACTTTCATTTCTTCCTAATACAAAAAGGTTTTGAGGAAGATTCTTGGGAAAAGACACATCCTTAGCAAGAGCTTCGTTAAAGAGGAGGAGTTCTGGAAAAAAGGGTTGCATGTACAGAGAGCCAGCGTGATTTGAAACAAGTCAGTGCAGAGAACAGGGATGCTGCGTACTCATATTAAGAGACCTCCTACCTGTAGCGCTTACTATGAGCAATGAAGGATCTCTCTGACAACGTAGGGCTGAACTCTTGACTGTTTTCACCTGTGTGAAGAAAACAGGACACATCTTGGTAAGAACTGGCTTGGGAAGCACCTCTACTGCCCTCCTGAACCACGCAGAGATCCAGGCGCATAGATCACCACGCACGGTCACGCTGTGCCCTGCAGTACGTTCTTCCACCCCCAGCATTAGACACCTTCCAGCACTGTGATCCCTTGATGCCTCCAGCTCTTTCCCACCCAAAAGCTGTTTTATTAACACCTTTCAGCAGTCAGTCAAAAATAGATGATCTGGTGGGCACGTTTCTTGTCAGCAAAGCTAGCTGCAATGGCCATATGGCTGTTATTTCTGCTTTATTCAGTAGATGCTGCCACATTATTAAGAGATCTCATGAGCTGCCTAAATAGAGACTGGGATGTGTCACCAATTCCAGCCCACTTGGGCTTACAAATAGAATTCAGCTCAGCTCTCCAGGAGCTCAAAGTGAGTGAAATCGCACACCGTGTTACACATTCCTTTTTCTCAATGAAGAGCAACCCGCCCTGCTACTTACATTCTGCTTGGGCAATTATAGAAATCGATGCAGAGCCGCCTTCTGTTTCTTCTTTTGCTGTTCCTTTGGTGATTACATCATTCAGGATTTTCCAAGGACTGTGAAAGGTGACCTTCTTCGAATCTTCCACTTTGCAGACACTGCTCTGCTTTTCACTAGCGGTCTCGTTCAGCCCCTTTGTTGCCGTGAGCTCCTTCTTGTGCTTCACGTTTGGATCAGGAGCTCCTTGGCATGTAATTCCCATCACTGCCATTTCACAGGTTCAGAGAGGCACTGAGTAAGAACAAAAAGACCACTTGTTACAATACAACACTTACTTCACAGGCAGGAGTGGCTTCAATCTCATGAGCAAGACGGCAGCTGAAGGTATCAGTTACAAACTAACTTAATCCAAATCAAGGTCCTACCCAAGCTCTGATGAAGAAACTAAGTATGAAGCCAGGATTGCCAGCTCACCATCCCTGACTGAGACAACAGAAGAGGTGAACAATCAATGTTATTCTCAGTACTAAAGCATGAGACTACTTAGGTTTCAATGCAAAATGCATTTCTTATTATATTCCCTTAGCTTTGATACATATGGAATAACACAGAAGAGGGAACTCTTCTTAAACAAGAAGAACATTCACACAAAGAGGAGACATGAGAGATCAGATCCATTGGCTGCATTTCTCTGTGCACCTAGGGGAAATCACCCTGCGCCCTTATGGCACAAACCACCTAAATATTCACAAAATGCTGCTAATTTTTTATTGCTTGGGCTCAGATCCCCTCAAACCCATTTCTTGCTCTTCCTTCCAGTGAAACAGGGCTGGGCAACCCGCCTGCCCGTGCGCATCTCCTCCCGCACACCCTCCCTGCCCCTTGCTTGCCAATAGCTTTTGAAACCCTCAGGCCACTAAAAAGAAGCCTGTGTATCAGGTTAATGTTAATCAGGTTAAAGTCGGTGTTCAGAAGAGGGCTGTGATGGTGCTGGAAGAAGAGGAAGGTCAAAGCCACGTCCTCTTGGCAGTGGCTGGCGAGTCAACCAGCCCGACCAGCTGGTGCAAATGGAGCTCCAGACAAGCCCCAGCACACACCAAGCCTTGGCCAGCTGGCAACACAGGGAAAGGTGGAAGGGAAATGAGGATGCAGAGGGAGAAGGACTAAGGAAGTCTGTAAGCAAGGCAGGATAAGGGGGTATTGTGGGGCATCAGCAATGTGTGGAGTTAAGTGTTCCCTACAAACCCACCGGTGTGGAACCGCAGGAAATGAGGCCCTGGCCGGCTCCCGCGGCCCCTGCCCTGCGCTCCGGGAAAGGCAGGACGCGGCTGTTCTCCTCTCAGCCAGGATCAGCCCTCACGGGACGTTCCCCGCTCCATGGCCCTTGCACGGTTCAAGCGATGGCTGAACCCGAACGTTTCCATCGTTAACCACGGCCCCGAGGGAGCGCCAAGCGCCGCCGGCCCCGGGAGCCGAGCGCCGCCGCAGCCACGAAGCACAAGGCCACGAAACTGTCACCAGGGCCAGTCCCGTGGGCCTCAGGGGCTGCATCTGCAGCAGAGATTGGCTTTTATTCCACTCTTCTTCTTTCTTTTTTTTTTTATCTGTTTCCCAGGGGCAACAAGCCCAGCAACACAAAGCTCAACGGGGAAAGCTCCAGAACAGGCAGCAATGGGTGCTCGGCGCCACCAAGGAAAGGGGAAGGGAAGGCTGGAGCCAAGGGGAAGGGAAGGCTGGAGTCACCCAGCGAGCTGGCAGGTAGGCAGGAGGCGTCCCGGGCACGGCGAGCCGCAAAACCCAGAGCCGCTGCAGGAGGAGCGGCCCCGGCGCCCCCGGCCTCCGCTCGCCAGAAACTGTGTCAAATCTCAGCGCTGTAAAATAATCCCTGGGAGCAGCACAGAGGCAGCCTGCCAGATGACTAACCCAAGCCACCAGTGACCAAGCTGACAAGTTCGGAGCTATTTTTGTCCTCACTCTCTCCCGATTTGCATTAACTCTGTGTCTCCTCACCTTGCAGGCCTGCAGGGCAGAGCTGCTCCCCTCTCCAGCAGCGCCGGATTCTGCCAGGCGCCCCCGGCTTCAATTAAAAGACGGAGAGAGCGGAGAGGCAGAACCGCGAGTCTGGAATGGAAAAGAGCAACCCAGAAACATCACTGAGATGGAAGCCAACAAAGTAGGTGCTTCACTTGCCAAGTGGAAACAAATCAGGGATAGTTCTGGTGAAAGCAACGTCCCCCAGCGTGGAGCAGCCGGCTTAATGGGTGACTCAGGCCTAAGGAGGCTGCGTAGGCCCCGAGCCGACGAGCCCGGCCCGGTTTAACGGTTTCCACATCATTTCCAGCTCCATGGGAGAGTCAGAAACCCAACTGTTTCACACTATGCAAAGTGAATTAGGGGAGAAGCTGTGATTCCTAAAAGCCCGAGCTTTTAAGGAATTACGGAGCTGTAACATTTCCTGCGGGCCATACTGCACCCTGAACTAGCCTCACCGCACGGCCCCTTTGGGGAGGTGATCGCAAGTCCCACTCATACTGCACGCAGCTATTTTTTGACAAAGCTTTTGGTAAAAGGAAGCTTTTTGATAAAGGAAGCCTTGGGAACACCGCCTGGATATCTGAGGTCCACAGCAAGATCCGTGAGGAGAGGATTTACCCCACGGGAGACAGGCTGGAGCGGCGGCCTCGAGGGCCTCTCTACCTGCCACCAGGACGAGCGTTTCCACGGACAGACGCACGTTATAAGGTAACACCAGGAGCCACAGGTTATGGAGCTGGAGGGTCACTGCTTCTTCCCCAGAACTGCTCCTTTGTTTTTGAAAACTTCCTTTCCCTTGACCAAGTCACTTGGGTTCAACTGTAAGTCTCGATTTCAGTATTCCCAATTTTCCTCCTTCCTCAAAACCAGCACGGCCCTGTGTACAGCGAGGGAAGAGAAAGCCAGGGAACGCTGCAGACAGAGGCAAACTGCATCCCTAGCCCACACAGGGCCTTTGCAAGCTCCTCCATCACGGAAGACTCCTTGCCCCTTATCTTCGCCACGATCTCACACTCACATCTAGCTCTGTGTTAGCTCTCGCTGCCGTAAAACAGAAAGAGCGTTTTTACAGCCCGAGAGCCGGGCGCAGCATCGCGCGCGTTGCGGGGCTGCCGCCAGCGCAGCTCCTTCCTCGAGGAACGGCCACGTTGCTTGTCCGGGGAGGACAAGGGCGCCCGGGCCGGGCCAGAGCGAAGGGGCCGCTCGAGCCTCGCGGGGACAAGGGACACCCTCGTGCTCAGCGCTCCCTTGAAAATCCCCTCCCTCTCCCACCTTCAGACAAGCCAGGCTCAGCGGATCCTCCATCCCAACGCTGGCCGCTTCCACTGCCTGGCACCTTGCAGGAACGTTTCCTTGTGACTCAGGGTCACTTTGCTCACAGCAGCCAGACAAGAGCGGCAAACACCTCCCTGCTCCGCAGAGCATCACGGCACGCGGCCCCGCGCGCTCCGCTCCGTCCCATCTCCCTTGCCAAGCTGCCCTTTGGAGAATTTTAAGCCACATTTTGCGGAGCAGCCCTGTATTTTACTTAACAAAGACAAAAAAAGACTTGGGTAAGAGCTTTAAAATACACAAAAGACTTCATATATCGGCTTCAAAGCATGGAGATTTCTTCTCCTGGTTTGAGTGCTAATGTTCAGTAGCAGTTTCACATTGACATTTAGTTTGAGAAAAAAAAATCATGTTGTCTCAGTGAGGTTTCCCACTTCCTTATTGAGAAGAGTTCAATGCACAACGCATCAGCTTAGGTCAGCCCTCGCTTTTGCAGCTGCTATTGGTTTATTGGAACATCTAAGTAAAATTTTAGCAATGTTGCTTTACTGCCCACTGCAAAAAAAGTGATAGTGGCCAAGAGCAGGAATTCATCCATCACTGTAACCTGGAGCCTCGGCCCAAAAAATGATGCTCAACCTCTAGGGATCTTCAGTTTCTGACAACTGTAGCTCTGTCAGGAGGTATTCCAGAATATTTGAGAATCCGTCTTGAGTACCAGCTAAAGAAAGACAATCTTATCAACAGCACACGACAAAAAATGAATTACACTAAACATCTAGTGCCCAGGAAGTAGAAATATTCGCGGTGCTCTTTCAAGCCCGAGGAGCTTCTTCCATTTGTTCAGGACTTCTCCTCTTGTCTCCCTCTGCCTGGGGAGCGTAGCTGATCGTCCCTGCCCACGTTTCTGATGGAACTGAAATTCAGAAGGTTCCGTTTTCAGCTGTGTCAGTTTAAGGCGTATTATTGTCGCATGGCTATGAGGTTGTTATTTAAACAAGCTCGGTACAGTCAGCAAGAAAGAAGTTTCAATTTGCCTCAGAAGGGAGCAGAAAAGAAAAAGAAGAAAAAAAAAAAGCTATAGTACACAATACAATACACAGCCCTACCTTAAAACATATGGAATGCTGCTAGAAATTTGGGAGAAAACCAGATAGCTACAAGGTCCACAAGCAAAATAAACAGAGTGCCTGGCTGATAATAATACTGGGGAGTCAGATCACTGGTTTTCATCCACAACATGCACAGTCTTTGCCACTGATACCCATGTGTCAGCACAAGGGGCATCTTGGCTGGTGCCTCTTGGTCTCTCCTGTGCTCTCGATGTGAAGGTTGACCTGAAGATCAGCAGTAGCTTCTGCCTAAACCCTAGCAGGACTCACGGTTTGAAGGGTTTCACTATCAGGATCACGGTCATGAGCGAGCTGGGTTATAAGTGATAATAAATATGCAAACATATCCTTTCAAGTGGTTTGACAGCAAATACTTCAAAATCCCGTTTCAGCCATTTATGTTGCTTACTATAAACACCAGGATAATAAGCTTCAACTATCCTTTCAGTTGCCAGACATTAATATATTGCAGTAGCTTGGATACAGACTCTGTAGAAAAGTATTTGATTGGATTGAACCAGTACCTGTATTTCCCAAAGTACCCAAATATTTCCTGCTGTGTAAACGTGGGTACAACTCGCCCCTAGCCCAATCTTTTCATGCTGGGGCATGTCCTTGAGCAAGGACACGAAAGACGCCGTTTCCCCCAAGTTCATAAATGTCACCGCATCCCAAGTCACTCAGGACAGCTAATTTCTCCAGGCTGCTCTATGAACAACTATTACAGAAAGCATCAGTCTAAAACTTGATGCTGACAAAGTTCTCTTTTCAAATCCAACTTTGCTGTTTATACACAAGCTTTGAGGACACAGCTTAAAAACATCCTGACTTTTCAGGCCCATTTGCGGAGAGAAGCTATTTCCTCAAGATATAAGCACT